TAACGTCATATTTCACGTTACTTTACATTATCCGATAATCATCATCCTCGACATATCAGAACAGTTATCTTGAATTAAGCATCATATATTTCCAATTTATCCATATGCAGTAGTATTCGCTGCTTGCCATCAACTCATAATTGTACCACCGCAGTTTGCATTAATCCTCATGCTCGCTTCATCTTCCGTCATCAACGTCGCTTTATCTTCCATTTGTGACTGTATTTCAATTTCGGAAGTTATCGGGGGATTGAAATCGGGTGATTGAAAAACGGTCGGGTTTTGCAAACATTGGTAAGCACATATAGGTTAAATCAGTTTTCGAGCCAGTCACTGATGAATGTCATTTTGCAGGCGATATAGCGTATAATCTTCACTCGGTGAGCGCATTCTCTTTGATTGCTGTTCATTGCGTTCATTTAACGATTTGAAGAATATAGAAAGATCCTTCAGCTAGAACAGCCACTCATGTCCTTAGCATTTGTTGAGTTAAGGCTGAGATATCAAATTGCCTGCTTCAATTCATATCACTGACAACACAAAAGTTATGCGAACTGCAGAAATATGGCTCATCGCTCTAGAACGATGGTGGTGAACATCGGTTTGAAATTCCATTTTTAGGATTGCAACTCAGGAGTTTTAGATTGAAATTCCAGAATGAGGGTAAGGTCGGTGATCAATTCGGTCGTCAAATTGAGTCAGTAGCTGCTTACGTGCCTTACATGACCGTAGTTGGGAATCATGAGCAAGCATACAATTTCTCACATTTTATCAATCGATACACAATGCCCAACAGTGATCATAACCTCTTTTACAGGTGATCCTTCATTTGCATTCGTGTTTAATTACGTTAATTTAGACGTCCTCTCGAAATTATCTCTATGTTATGAGATGGTCTGATAAGTTAGAAGATTCCGTGTTTCTCTGCATTAGATTGACGACATTTTAAAGAATTGGCTGGTGGCATGAGCAGAATTCAAAATCATCCTGCTTTGGAAGGATCATTTTCCTTTCATTTCTTCAGCTTCGACTTGGGCGTTGCACACTTCATCGCATTTTCAACCGAATTTTATTACTATTTGAAATATGGTTCGCATCAAATAGCAAGGCAGTGGGAATGGCTCAATAATGATCTTAAGGTTAATCGCATCTGTTCTTGGCGTTCGAAAATATGCAACTTTTTGATAGCCTCAAACTTTCATGTACCTACACTTGATCTTCTGAAATTATACATTTTCAACCGATTGGCAGGTTGCTGACCAAGATCGTGAAAAGCGTCCATGGATCATAACATTGGGTCATCGACCAATGTATTGCTCGAATTTTCAAGGCGATTGTGCGAGATACGAATCGAGAGTGGGTGAAGTTTTTTTCAAATCCTGCTAAAATTTTCAATTGGAGCATCGATATCGCTCGAAATTTTCAAATCGATACAGTACACTTTATGCCGCAATATAAGCATACTGAGTACTTCGGTGGGTATGAAAAAATCTGAACTGATCGATAGATTACACTTCAACTTACAACATTGATCAGACGTAACACTAATAAAGCAAATGGGCCTCTTACAGATCCGAACAGGGCTCCGTGGGCAGCACGCATATGCTTTGGAAAAACTTTTCTACTCGTATGGCGTTGATCTGGAAATTTGGGCACATGAACACCTACGAAAGAATGTGGCCAGTTTACAATAGAACAGTGAGGATTTTACATGAACACCATCGTTATTAATCCAAAACACTGTGAGTTAGGGATTAATCGTGAACTTATTTTGCTGAAAGGATAGTATATAAAATTATATAAACAACTATAAAGTTTTGACTGAGAGCAAATCATAAATAAAAATAGTATTCTGACTGCAGGTTTACAACGGTACTCGCTCACCGTACGTAGATCCACCGGCTCCAGTACATGTTGTCACAGGATCGGCGGTAAGAATTCAGTTGATTCCACCGCTCGGTAATAGGATCAGAGAGAGTTAAGAACGCCAAAAGGCATCCTCAATAGCTGAGCTGATTTTCTTTGAGAATAGAATGTGACTATAAGCCAAGTGATTTCTATTTTGATCAGTAATGTATAGGCTTATCAGGAGTATCATTTTCAATTCACCCGCTTACGCAAGTTTACACAGCAATTCGTCATTTGTTCTTAACCGACTGATCAGATCATCCACTTCTAAAATATTTATGCATTTATAACATCAAATAATTTTGCCAAGTTCAAAGATACAGCTGAGTCCCAAAGACAATGAAATTTAAGCGAATTTATTTTCCTACCTAACTCCATAGATATTTGCGATGGGAATTAGTCAGCTTCACATTTATGATATATATCTGATGACTTTTCTTCGCTTTGATAATATGTGTTCATTGTTGCAGCCGAACTTGTAAAAGTATCTAGGCGATAAGCATTAAGTAATCTCGTTATCAGCTCTTTGTTATCAATTGTAAGGTAAATATGCACTGAATTATTTCAGGGCTGTCAAAAGAAACCTGAT